ATATCTTCACTGTAGTGATAGAGTCGTTAGAGCTACTTGTAACGTGGTGGTTGGGGATGGACAGACCGGGATTACCAAGTGTGACGTAATGATGCAGTGAGACAGCATGGTGTTATGAATGACAAGGCGAATACTGCTTCTCGTCTCCATACTTCGGGAACCACTGAGGATGGATTTATCGATGAAGTTTGACTTTGACCTCATCACGCTGCTTCAAACTAAAAAATTAAACTGATCAATGAAGTTAACGAGCTCGTCAATTTCGTCAAATGATAACCAGGCATGAGTCAGCCAGGAGAACTGGTTATGGGTGCGATATAAAATCCCCCTGGCGAGCGTCACCCTCTCCCGAGAGCAGTGTTACCACCTACCTGTCGACTGCCACACTTCTCCAATATATTATATAAGATCCATCGATCATGACACAGCCGAACAGATATCTAATGACGAAACCCCTATCATTATCTCGTAATAAGACGTTTTCTTGCAAATAATTCACAAAGATGATGTAGTAGACATTATAAACGTCAAATAATTTTCCTATACAGTAATACATACTGAGATTTTCTGTGCAAGCAATGAATTAGTGTGTACAGTGTGTGAGCATTTGGTGCAGTGCTGGTGACAGTGAACACGGCACTGTCTTAGACGTGTTCAACCTAGAGGGATCAGAACCAAATAGTTCTTGTTTGAGATTAAATATTTATATTCAAGAACTTCAGATATTATATCCAGTTCCTATTAGAAAAACTCTTAAAAATCTTTGTAAACAGTTTAACAGGTCAAGATTAAAACCTCACCATTCATTAATTCATAGAGACATGTTTTCATTGATTAAGCTGTACATTCTAATTAGTGGATCAACAAAGTCACATCTACAGTACATCAATATTCACCGACAAGAAGTTATTTTCTAACGTTGCTTCTGAACATCTGCCATAACATTCTACTTGTCAAAAGCAGTAACATATGCTACGGGTATATTTCCAATGGACTAATTATTATGCTGTGAATTATCATACCGCTCTCCCTTGTCCAGGCTCTAGCACATCATCCACACACGGACATTGCCACAGGCCTGTAGTGACAGCACTACGTGTTCAACATAAGCCAAAGGTTAATTAACACAACTACCTACCCCTCACTACCGAGCTCTCTCTCTCTCTCTCTCTCTCTCTCTCTCTCTCTCTCTCTCTCTCTCTCTCTCTCCCTTACCTGTCAGGGTCTTTCCTAGGGCGGACTATTGTGATCTGATAAAGGCCAAAGGACATGGAACAATGGAGAAATAAAGAGTGTGTGTGTGTGTGTATATATATATATATATATATATATATATATATATATATATATATCTTGGTAAAATCACACGGGAAAAGGGAAACAACAATGTGGAAAGGCATTTACGCGTACTACTGGATTCACAAGGCTAGGTGCCAAAAAATTGCAATAGCCTTTAATACACTGCAGACAAAGAAAATGCGATCATGTTATAATGTATTAACTGACTTTATTATTAATTCTATGGAATTACATGCACAGACTACAGAGAATCTCTCTCTCTCTCTTTCTCTTTAGGATATCATAGGGAGGGAAGGAGGGCGTGTTTCTTAGGGGGGAAAAGGATAGGAAGCTGTTTATAGGAGTCAAGATGGAACAATTCAAGTTTTCCCGCTAGCGTATGACTGATGGTGTTCCAACACACGTCTACCACAACTCATCAAAAGGTTTTACATTGACAAGGTACAGCAAAGTGTAACAAAAAGCAAGGATAGCTAGAAGAATATATCAGTTATGACTTGGAAATTATACAAAAACAAGAATCTTAACGGATCACTACAGTAGAGGACACACCACAGGAGCAATTTTCTACCCTTCCGCTATTCAACCTATTATTAAATTATTCCCGGACGGCGCAACAGTCATAAATGTGTGTGTGTGTGTGTGTGTGTGTGTGTGTGTGTGTGTGCATATATTTCACTATCAATAATTCTCCATCATATCTTCATAAATCATCTTCTTTACAACGTATTATTCTTCTGCTCTTATCCTAACTTTACGTCTGTCTTCCTCTCGTTTACTCTATTACTTCTACACTATACCTGCTGTGTCTCTCTTCTTAATCTTATCAATAAATACCAACTCAATCATTGAATTATCGAATATAATGAAAACAAAGTGTAAATTGATGAAGAGATGATGTACTGAAGACAACACAACACTGAGTAACGTAGAATGACAGGCCGAGGAAGATAAAGAAATACTAATAGCTAATGAGAACGACCTTATTAGCAATGCTTTGGAAGCTGCAAAGTAAATGATTTTTTATTAATTATTGGCATCTTCATAATTTTTTACTAGCACAGTTTATCCTTAATCGCATTTAAATATACAAAAATGTTTCATTAATAAAAACAATCGAAGCTGAGAAAATTTATAGTTTACTATATTCAAATTTCATTTTGTCTTCACCGTATTATTATTGTTTTATTACTTCGCTATATAACTCACGCCAGCTGTGTTATTGGTTTATCTACAGGGGCGAAACTGTAAACATTCACTTGCGGTTGTATCAACATCATGACGTCATTCAGGTGCTAGGTTCACAGGTCATTCATTAATTAGGATCAGTGACCTGCCAATCCAATACAGAATAGCCATCTCGCCACCATACACATAGTGACCCCTTGACAGGTAATTAATTAAAAAAACACTGTCAGGTACAATTAAAATGCCCCTCTCGACGTGTGGGTAACACACAAATGATCTTTATCATGTCTTTTACTGACAAGGTACTATCAAGTACTATGAAACCGTCCACCTGACCTATGGTAGTACTAATATAAGGATTCATGTACTATTAGATATAATGAAAGTAGGCTTCCCTCTTAACCTACGGGTGTTAAAGACCCTGTCTGAACCAGATCATAAATCAACGAGGCACTACCAGATACTCCCTGGCACCCCTCCCCCCTGACCAGTCTTTGTTGCAGGTGTTGGGAACTCAGGTACCAGCCAAGTGACCTTGAGTGTGGACCTAAGTTTTTGCCTCTGTTCATCAGGGAGGTTGCCTACGTTATCCTCTCACTTTCTCTCTCAAATTTTTCTCTCCATGGCTTTCGGTTTTTCTCTTACTCTCTTCGCTTTCGTTCGCAGAATTGTTGTTCTCCTCCTCTTAATATTTCCCTCCTTTTCTATCAAACAATCACCCTATCTCTCTCTCTCATTCTTATTGGTTTTTTTTGTTCACTCTTCCTCGTCGTCTTCCTCGTCAACGTCTTAGCAAAAAGTTCTCATTTCTTCTATATGTCTCTTATTTTCATACTATCACTCTTTTTCACCATTCATCTGCAGTATTCATTCAGCTCGTCAGGTTTTCATTCTCACTAAAGCTCTCCCTTTATATACTCTTTGAGCGTTTGGCCTCTATCATGTAAACAACACATCCTCAACATTATCTGGACTTACTTGGATATATTTTACCAGTTAACGATACGCACATCAGCACCAATATTACCCCAGTAGTCACATTGTTAATCATTTTATGGTTTTTAACATGACTCATCAATTTTTATTTTAACAAGTGCACATAAAACAAAATTAAAGTCACAAAGATAAGTCATTAACACGTGGTTTACGCAAAAATTAAATCTGCTTAATTTTAACTTAGAAGACAGCAAAGGGTAGAGACAACATATGACCAGAGTGGCACAAATACCCAGATTGCCAACACACTGCCCTACATTCAATAGGAGTTTGCCTTGCACCATGTAACAGTAGGATAATACTACTCTCTTGATGTTAGGAAGTATGAGGAAGGTTGTCTCATGAAAGTATGAATTAAAACAACACTATTTTACCCCTCAGATGTTCAGGTTTTCCATTAAGCTCTGTGGTCACTCTTGGTGTTTTAAACGTGTCTAAAATAGTACTTATGTATACTCCACATTATGGATCCTTATAGCTACAATGTTCACAGTGACTCTTATGACTCTGCTTACAAAGATAAGGAAAATGTGATCTATCCCTCTTTATCTCTACCTGACGCTATACAGCTTCAGTGTGGATGTCCTCGCTATCCTACCCACGGCATTGTTCACTTTCAAGCTGCGTTCACTGCCTATTGTATGAGTTCGTTCACCTCGTAACATGTCCACAATCACTATCACTGTGCACTCTCATTCACCTCTAACCTGGCCATATTGACTTTTAGTATGGCTACGTTCACTATCACGTTTATGTCCTCCTGTTATAAAAACTGTAGGATCACTCTGTCTCCTTAATGGAGTGTACAATGAAATTTAACAAGTGGGACTGGTCACTGAGATGTCAGTACACGATAATCGAAAAGGAGGGAACTGGCATCTCAGTACTCTCCTTTGACGTGTATTTGTGCATTATAACTACAAGTGAGAGTAAAACTGATAAGAGTTCCATGAGATTCCCTTTTGTGGCATGCCAAAGAACGGTTCTTGGTCGACTGTTTGTGCAGAAGACAATCTAGAGGTGCTTTGCTCTAGTACTGCAGGCATCTGAATGTCGTGGGTCAGTCAGCCAGAGTTCAGTTGTCGAGAAAGTTGGGCGGAGTTTTGTGGCACTGGGAGGTGGTGGCAGATCTGGGCGTGGTTCTTTGCCCTTCACATGTTAAACCCGAACCAAACCCCGTTAAAACTAACACACCCTCACAAAATGTATCATACTATTTACCGAAAATACAAAACGATATCGTATTTCTTCACATTGTGAAAATTAATGAAACTAATAATTAATCTGATGAAGAATTGCAATACAAATAAATTTATACTTGGGAGTTCTTTGGGTGGGGGACAGATCACCGAGTCGTATGATAGCAGTGGAAGAGCCTTCTAGGGTGGCGGGCAGCGGCCTTGTGGAACAAAATCTAACACAAGAGGTTGAAGTTTGACCAATAGCGAGTGAGGGGTGACACTATCGTTAGCCAATCACAGACCAAGGAATCACAATGCTCACCATGTTGAGCGGTATAAAAGCCACCGCTTGACCACAGATCGACACAACCATCCGGGTCGCAGAAGCCTCTTGTGGAGTTCTCAGACCAGCATAAGCAAACTAGACATGAAGATTCTGGTAAATCATTCTTTATATTTTGTATCATATCACTAACAGTAAAACATAACAACTGGGATCAGGTACCATATTAAGGTGTTCCTCCTGGCCACTATACAAATACCTAGAAAAAATATGTTTCTTTTATTTTCTTTAGTTTTCTAGACATGGACTTTCTAGTTAGCTTACTGGCCTCAGGTAAGGTGATGTAGATGAAGTCATCCCCAGCTAAGGTAAATTTTGTACAGTTTTGTTGTTGATGTAGTTATATTCTTCTCCAGCTGAGAGAAATGTAAACATTGGATCATATGAAAGTAATTTGTCATTCTAGATACTAATTTATTTATCCTCTTCCTTCTTGTTCTTATGGCAGTGAGCATAATAATGTAATCATGAGAGATACTTTGATATATTTAAAACAAAATTCTTTAGTTTTTGTATTGACACTCTTTGTCACCCTCATAATTATATGAGATATCAAAGTTTAAGCACTCTAATATATTTACCTTAATATTTTCTAAGGTTATTTACCAGTCTCATGTTTCCTCAGATCATGATTTTAGTAAGTTTTCAGATGTTTATTGAAGTACAGGTATGTCTTGATCAGTTCGGCTGGTCAAGTGGTCCTCAGTCCTAATAGACAATAGCCTAACCATTATGTTTGGAGTCTATTAGGGTTGTTGTTCTTTTGGACTGGGGTCCCTGTTAAGACTAGGCCTCAAATCTAATAGTTAAGATAGGTTGGGATACAAAGAAGTAGGCCCCCTGTTCAGTCAGGAGCTCTCGGCAGACCTTAAAAAAAATGGGAAATATTAAAAACCCGGGATCAAAACTTCATTAATCTTTATATTATCTTTACTTTATGTGAGTTCATGGAAGCATATTATTTATTCATTCATGAATCTCGACTCTGAAGAATGTTGAAGTCATAAATGAATGAATTAATTATTATTCTTTCTTTTTACACACTTGTCGCTCTTTCTGGATGTTCCTAGTTCTCAAGAATAAATACATTACTGTAGGAGGGGAGGAAATACAATAAGAACGAGAATAAATGATAGATATTAACATATAGGATGTACAGAGGGGCAGAGAAAAGGAAGAAGTACGCGATGGTTGTCTTTATATATGCATTCATTATTTAGATGCTTATATTGTTGGTTGATGCGGAGACCAGAAATAAAAAATACAGTAAGATGGCTATTGTAATTATCGTCAATATCAATAACATTAGCAGTTGTAGTGATAGAAAAAAGAAGTAGAACCATTAAATGTTCGTAGAAGTGTTTGTACTATTATCATTGTTAGATTCTCGTTGATGTATATATAAATATAATTTATTGATAAAATAATTCTACCACAGGCAGCTATCTGTGTGCTCGCCGTCGGCGTCAGCGCACAGGTTGGGCATTCAGGAATCATCAGTCCCGATGGTGTCAACACTCAGTTCTCTCACGACTTCGCCAATGATATCGCATTAATAGGACCTTCCGGCATTGTTACCAAGTCTGGGAATAACCGCCAGCTGACTCACGGTGAGGCTACCCTGCACGTGGCCACCCATCCTGCCCCCGTGCCCGTGCCTCAGTTCGTATCCCAGAGAGGTGTCATCGGTCACTCAGGAATTGTCCGCCCTGACGGTAATAATGTCCAGTTCACCCAGGATCAGGTCGACAACATTGTTCTGGTTGGACCTTCCGGCATCGTCACCAAAGACGGCAGCAACATCCAACTCACTGATGACCTCCACTTTGTCCCCCGCACCAAGCGTTCGGCCCCTTTAATTGGACCCTCTGGCATGATCACCGCTGAAGGTATCCCCATCCAGTTCTCCAAGCCAGGCGTCACCATCCTGCTTGAAGGACCCTCCGGCTACGTCATGAGCGACGGCACCCTCGTCCAGAAGCGCAGCAAGCGTCATGTAATAGGTGAGTCTGGTATCATCACCTCTGATGGTCAACAGATCCAGTTGGAGCACGGAGTGAAAGTGGTCCTTGTTGGTCCCTCCGGTATCCTCCTCTCCAACGGCAAGAACATCCAGCTGCAATGAGTTGCCTGGCGTCTTAAAGCTACTCTCTAGTCTTGAGGTCTTCTTAATTTGTAAAACAAACACCAGGTTGGTCATTAAACATGCACGCTTGTTCATGTAAAACTGCAGCAGCATAAAAATTTAAGACCTTTGTGAATATTGTCATCAAAATATTTTATTCTATTTTTACCAATTCAAGTTTTTGCCAAAAGTTTTACAGTGAAGAATTTTGTTGAGAAGAACACTGAAATAAAGTCTTAACCATACAATCCTTGACTCTAATTCATTACATCTCCCGGAGGTTAAACTTTCTACCTTGTTGTGGAAGACAACGACAAACACATCACGTTCTCCTTCCAGAGAAACAAATGGTGTCCATTTGTTTCTGCACTTAGTGAATGAAAATTAATAGTAATTGCTTCCACCACCATCACCATTACCGTCATCGTTATCAACACCTTGATCATCATAATCACCACCGTCATAATCATCCCATCACCACAATTATCACCATTCAATGACATTTACAATATATCTAATTCGGTCCCCCACAGAGGACACGAAAAAAAGAGAAACTGAATAATAATGATCATACAGTAAGAAATACCATCAAAACATCATTACATTATACTTGTATAGACTACAACACTCCTTCTTGGTGCCCTGAAAAAAGGCTGTCATCTCTTAAATATCTACCCAACAAAAATACTTGAGGTCTCTATTTATGAGAAATTTCGTAAATGCGCGCAGAGGACGATGCGTGTAATTCCTTAATGAGTGAAATGAATATGTCAGCTTCAGGTGAACTCGGGAACATGACGCAGGACATACACCGTGAAGGATTTCAAAGGTCGCTCATAGTACAGCTTTGAACCTGTCAAGGTGCGATCAAGCTATCGTAACCAAGAATCTATTGTGGTCATAAACTCATCAAAGCAAACGAAATGTTATGAATATGTTCGGGACAGGGTGTTGAGAGCAACTTTGTCAACAAATATACTTCAGTAAACCACATAATTTTCACCACATGAAATTCATCTAAAAAATTACCTTTCAAAGTGTACCGACTACATTCAAACACAATGGTTTTACATACTTGTTAATCAGGCATTATTACAACATATTTGTAATTAAATTTAAATAAAAACTCAAAATAACCAAGTAATATTCCCATGGATGTTATATCTGAATACATTATAATGAAATATATGAAAACAAAAAAGATTAGAGGATTTCACTATCCACAACGTATAGGGATAAAGAAAGACAAGAAATTATTAAATATTACAGATCTAAAAAGCCGGCGGTCGAGTAAAATCTTTTCAAACGGCAGGATAGAATCATTCCCGGCGACAGGGTGGAGTCATTCCCCCGACATGCTCCACTTAGATTTACATATATCAGTGTATGCAGTGTGTTATGTTTCTTCTCACCATGACTCCTACACATATTTGACTTTGGACATCCTCTAAGTTCTCCTGGAGACAAAATTGGAGTTATTCCCAATTTTTTAATATTGTTCCTTCATTCTTTGTCTTAACACCTATATACTTTTTGGAAGCGAATTGGATATTAGTTAATATTTGGCTCTTCTTTTCTTTCTTTTGGCCTGTTGTAATATGCAATATTTCTAAAGTATTTCTTATGTGGTCTTGTTGCTCGAGAATGTGAAGGAAATTAATAATAAGATATTGGAGAGTCTAAGTACTCTGGTCCGTATTGTGTAGTACAGTGTGTTGGGGATGTTAATTGTCTCACTGAAACCCCAGAGAGGCTCAAGAAAATGCGTTACTTTCACGTAAACCTCTTGAAGAAGTACTATACTATGGATCGTGAGGAGTTGGATGTGATTAATGAAAATAATGTAGCACTGGTAACAGCCAAAGGAGAGGATGATATAATTGTTGATGGCCCATCTTCTTTTGTTGGATCCAAATTGTCTTCTCCATGAGCATCAGGACATCTTCGGAGATACATCTCGTTCTCTGCCCCTTACTGCAACATGACGTGGACACCCGAGGTGCCTATTCAATATAGCAAACCCCGTATCGATGGGTTCTTGGCTCTACAGCCCTCCCACACGCAGAGGTCCAGGGTTCGATTCCCGACCAGTGAGGTATTGTTTGTATCTGAAAGTTCGCATCCTGTATAGACTGATGAGATAAATATAGGTAAATAAGGTAGATTCACCTCGGTGTTTCTGTTGGTCCTTTTCGCCCAGGGTTTTAATCTTCGGCCATGACTGAGTATTTGGGAACACCGAAAGAGTATTTCATAAAGTCTACCTTACTTAAGGCGAGCCATAGCAGTATATAACTGTTGTCCAGTTCTATGCCTTTTGGGGACAGCTTGGGCAAGACATTGGGGTTGTGATTGCGATAGGTGGCAGAGGAGTACTGTATATAAACCAAAGCTGCACCGCAGCTCAGCACAACCATGCAGCCCGCAGAAGTCACTCATGCAGAATAGAGTTCTGGGATCAACTAGACGAACAAAACATGAAAATATTGGTAAGTGCACTATTGAGATGACATCGCATTGGTAAAACCTTCTAGCAATGTTATCATGTCTGGTCAAAACGTACAACTCACCTCCGACATCCACTTTGATCTTCTGCACCAAGCACAGTGCAGGTATAGTGTCTGCCCAAGGGCAACATTGGTTACTCTGGCACCTTACATGCTCATGGTAGCACTGACCATTTCTCAGCCATGACTATGCTCATGATAACCTCCTCATCGGAACCTCTGGTATGGTCAGCAAGTCTGACCATAACCTCAAGCTCACAGACGACTTGAGGATCGTGAACCCACGTATCAAGCATTCGCTCTCTGTAGTTGAACCCTCTGGCCTGGTCACTGCTGAGGGCAACCCCATCCAGTTCACTAAACCTAGCGTCACCATCCAGTTTGACGGGCCATCTGGCTACCTCAGGAGCAACGGCACCCTCTTCCACAAACCCTGAGTAACATCTTAGGAGCTGTCATATCCACCAGAGGGAGGTACTATCATCTCTGACGGCTACAACATTCAGGTAAACCAAGGTTTATGAGACTAGTCGGTCGTTCTATGAAGATCATTGTCAGTGGTATTCTTAGAATGTATTTTACCAGATCGAAATTTATCAGAAACATACCATAATAAACATGTCTACCAATTAAATACAGAACTTCTTTCGTTATTTCCCTTATGATATCTTAGGGAGGGAGGGAAGGAGGAAGAGCATGTTTCTTTAGGGAAGAAAAGGATAGGGTGCGTATTTACAGGAGTCAAGATGGAACAATTCAAGTTCTCTCCGCTAGAATATGACTGATGGTGTTCCAACACTCCTTTACGACAATTCATCGAATGGTTTTACATTGACAAGGTACAGCAAAGTGTAACAAAAAGCAAGGATAGCTAGAAGAATATCAGTTATGACTTGGAAATTATACAAAAACAAGAATCTTAACGGATCACTACAGTAGAGGACACACCACAGGAACAATTTTTTACCCGTCCGCTATTCAACCTATTATTAAATTATTCCCGGACGGCGCAACAGTCATAAATGTGTGTGTGTGTGTGTGTGTGTGTGTGTGTGTGTGTGTGTGTGTGTGCATATATTTCACTATCAATAATTCTCCATCATATCTTCATAAATCATCTTCTTTACAACGTATTATTCTTCTGCTCTTATCCTAACTTTACGTCTGTCTTCCTCTCGTTTACTCTATTACTTCTACACTATACCTGCTGTGTCTCTCTTCTTAATCTTATCAATAAATACCAACTCAATCATTGAATTATCGAATATAATGAAAACAAATTGTAAATTGATGAAGAGATGATGTACTGAAGACAACACAACACTGAGTAACGTAGAATGACAGGCCGAGGAAGATAAAGAAATACTAATAGCTAATGAGAACGACCTTATTAGCAATGCTTTGGAAGCTGCAAAGTAAATGATTTTTTATTAATTATTGGCATCTTCATAATTTTTTACTAGCACAGTTTGTCCTTAATCGCATTTAAATATACAAAAATGTTTCATGAATAAAAACCAATCAAAGCCGAGAAAATTTATACAGTTTACTATATTCATTTTTTTTTGTCTTCACCTTATTTTTATTATGTTTTATTACTACGCTAAATAACTCGTGCCAGCAATGTTATTGGTTTATCTACTTAAGCGAAACTGTAATCATCACTTGCACTTGTACCGACATCATGACGTCATTTAGGTGCTGCGTTCACAAGTCAATCATTAATTAGGATCAGTGACCTGATAATCCAATATAGAATGACCATCTCGCCACCGTACCCATAAATAGTGACCCATTGACAGGTTATCAATAACAAAATACTGTCAGGTTCAATTAAAATGCCCCTCTCGACGTGTGGGTAACACACAAATGATCTTTATCTTGTCTTTTACTAACAAGGTACTATCAAGTACTATGAAACCGTCCACCTGACCTATGGTAGTACTAATATAAGGATTCATGTACTATTAGATATAATGAAAGTAGGCTTCCCTCTTAACCTACGGGTGTTAAAGACCCTGTCTGAACCACATCATAAATCAACGAGGCACTACAAGATACTCCCTGGCACCCTTCCCCCCTGACCAGTCTTTGTTGCAGGTGTTGGGAACTCAGGTACCAGCCAAGTGACCTCGAGTGTGGACCTAAGTGCCTACGTCATCTTCTCTCTTTCTCTCTTTAATTTTTCTCTCCATGGCATTCGGTTTTTCTCTTACTCTCTTCGCTTTGGTTTGCTGAATTATTGTTCTCCTCCTACTCTTAATAACTTTCTCCTTTTCTATCAAACAATCACTCTAAAATCACTCTCTTTCTCTTATTCTGCTTTTTGTTCACTCTTCTACGTCGTCTTCCTCATCAACGTCTATTTACTTCTATATGTCTCTTATTCTCATACTATCACTCTTTTTCACCATTCATCTGCAGTATTCATTCAGCTCGTCAGCTTTTCATTCTCACTAAAGCTCTCCCTTTATATACTCTTTGAGCGTTTGGCCTCTATCATGTAAACAACACATCCTCAACATTATCTGGACTTACTTGGATATATTTTACCAGTCAACGATACGCACATCAGCACCAATATTACCCCAGTAGTCACATTGTAAGTCATTTTATGGTTTTTAGCATGACTCATCAATTTTTATTTTAACAAGTGCACATTAAACAAAATTAAAGTCACAAAGATAAGTCATTAACATGTGGTTTACGCAAAAATTAAATCTGCTTAATTTTAACTTAGAAGACAGCAAAGGGTAGAGACAACATATGACCAGAGTGGCACAAATACCCAGATTGCCAACACACTGCCCTACATTCAAGAGGAGTTTGCCTTGCACCATGTAACAGTAGGATAATACTACTCTCTTGATGTTAGGAAGTATGAGGAAGGTTGTCTCATGAAAGTATGAATTAAAACAACACTATTTTACCCCTCAGATGTTCAGGTTTTCCATTAAGCTCTGTGGTCACTCTTGGTGTTTTAAACGTGTCTAAAATAGTACTTACGTATACTCCACATTATGGATCCTTATAGCTACGATGTTCACAGTGACTCTTATGACTCTGCTTACAAAGATAAGGAACATGTGATCTATCCCTCTTTATCTCTACCTGACGCTATACAGCTTCAGTGTGGATGTCCTCGCTATCCTACCCACGGCATTGTTCACTTTCTAGCTGCATTCACTGCCTATTGTATGTGTTCCTTCACCTCTTAACATGTCCACAATCACTGTCACTGTGCATTCTCATTCACCTCTAACCTGGCCATATTTACTTTTAATATGGCCACGTTCACTATCACGTGTCTCCTAATTTTATAAAAGCAGTAAGATCACTCTATCTCCTTAATGGAGTGCTGAATAAACTTTAGCTTTCCATGACTGGTCACCTAGGTGTCAGTACACGATCATCGAACAGGAGTAAACTGGCCTCAGAGTACTCTCCTTTGAAGTGTATTCGTGCATTATAACTACAAGTGAGAGTGATAGTCTTAAGAGTTCCACGAGATTCCCTCTGGTGGCTAGCGAAAGAACGGTTCTTGATGGAATGCTTATGCAGAGGACAATCTAGTGATGGTTTGCTGTAGTACTGACGGCATCGGAATTTCGTGGGTCAGTCCGCAAGAGCCCAGTTGTCGAGAAAGTTGGGTGAGTTATGTGGCACTGGGAGGTGGCGGCAGATCTGGGCGTGGTTCCTCACCCTTCACACGTCACACACGATCCAGACCCCGTTAACACCAACACACCCTCAAAAAATGTATAATTTTATATATCGAAAATAGCAAATGTTGTCTTATTTCTTAGCAATGTGAAAATTAATGCAACTAATACTCTGGTGAAAGAATTGCAAGAAAAATAAAATTATACATGGGAGTTCGTGGAAGAGCCTTCTAAGGAGGCGGGCAACGGCCTTGTGCCACAGAAACTAACGCAAGGGTTGAGGTCTGACCAATAACAAGTGAGGCGGTGACAATATGGTTAGCCAATCACAGACCAAGGAATCACAATGCTCACCATGTTGAGCGGTATAAAAGCCACCTCTTGACCACAGATCGACACAACCATCCGGGTCGCAGAAGCCTCTTGTGGAGTTCTCAGACCAGCATAAGCAAACTAGACATGAAGATTCTGGTAAATCATTCATTATATTTTGCATCATATCACTAACAGTAAAACATAACAACTGGGATCAGGTACCATATTAAGGTGTTCCTCCTGGCCACTATACAAATACCTAGAAAAAATATGTTTCTTTTATTTTCTTTAGTTATCTAGACATGGACTTTCTAGTTAACTTACTGGCCTCAGGTAAGATGATGTAGATTAAGTCCTCCCCAGCTAAGGTAAATTTTGTACAGTTTTGTTGTTGATGTAGTTATATTCTTCTCCAGCTGAGAGAAATGTAAACATTGGATCATATGAAAGTAATTTGTCATTCTAGATACTAATTTATTTATCCTCTTCCTTCTTGTTCTTATGGCAGTGAGCATAATAATGTAATCATGAGAGATACTTTGATATATTTAAAACAAAGTTCTTTAGTTTTTGTATTGACACTCTTTGTCACCCTCATAATTATAAGAGATATCAAAGTTTAAGCACTCTAATATATTTACCTTAATATTTTCTAAGGTTATTTACCAATCTCATGTTTCCTCAGATCATGATTTTAGTAAGTTTTCAGATGTTTATTGAAGTACAGGTATGTCTTGATCAGTTCGGCTGGTCAAGTGGTCCTCAGTCCTAATAGACAATAGCCTAACCATTATGTTTGGAGTCTATTAGGGTTGTTGTTCTTTTGGACTGGGGTCCCTGTTAAGACTAGGCCTCAAATCTAATAGTTAAGATAGGTTGGGATACAAAGAAGTGGGCCCCCTGTTCAATCACGAGCTCTCGGCAGACCTTAAAAAAATGGGAAATATTAAAAACCCGGGATCAAAACTTCATTAATACTGTATATTCTCGTTACTTTATGTGAGTTCATGGAAGCATATTATTTATTCATTCTTGAATCTCGACTCTGAAGAATGTTGAAGTCATAAATGAATTAATTAATTCTTATTCTTTCTTTTTACACACTTGTCACTCTTTCTGGATGTTCCTAGTTCCCATGAATAAATACATTACTGTAGGAGAGGAGGAGATACAATAAGAACGAGAAAAAATGATAGATATTAACATATAGGATGTACAGAGGGGCAGAGAAAAGGAAGAAGTACGCGATGGTTGTCTTTATATATGCATTCATTATTTAGATGCTTATATTGTTGGTTGATGCGGAGACCAGAAATAAAAAATACAGTAAGATGGCTATTGTAATTATCGTCAATATCAATAACATTAGCAGTTGTAGTGATAGAAAAAAGAAGTAGAACCATTAAATGTTCGTAGAAGTGTTTGTACTATTATCATTGTTAGATTATCGTTGATGTATATATAAATATAATTTATTGATAAAATAATTCTACCACAGGCAGCTATCTGTGTGCTCGCCGTCGGCGTCAGCGCACAGGTTGGGCATTCAGGGATCATCAGTCCCGATGGTGTCAACACTCAGTTCTCTCACGACTTCGCCAATGATATCGCATTAATAGGACCTTCCGGCATTGTTACCAAGTCTGGGAATAACCGCCAGCTGACTCACGGTGAGGCTACCCTGCACGTGGCCACCCATCCTGCCCCCGTGCCCGTGCCTCAGTTCGTATCCCAGAGAGGTGTCATCGGTCACTCAGGAATTGTCCGCCCTGACGGTAATAATGTCCAGTTCACCCAGGATCAGGTCGACAACATTGTTCTGGTTGGACCTTCCGGCATCGTCACCAAAGACGGCAGCAACATCCAACTCACTGATGACCTCCACTTTGTCCCCCGCACCAAGCGTTCGGCCCCTTTAATTGGACCCTCTGGCATGATCACTGCTGAAGGTATCCCCATCCAGTTCTCCAAGCCAGGCGTCACCATCCTGCTTGACGGACCCTCCGGCTACGTCATGAGCGACGGCACCCTCGTCCAGAAGCGCAGCAAGCGTCATGTAATAGGTGAGTCTGGTATCATCACCTCTGATGGTCAACAGATCCAGTTGGAGCACGGAGTGAAAGTGGTCCTTGTTGGTCCCTCCGGTATCCTCCTCTCCAACGGCAAGAACATCCAGCTGCAATGAGTTGCCTGACGTCTTAAAGCTACTCTCTAGTCTTGAGGTCTTCTTAATTTGTAAAACAAAACCAGGTTGGTCATTAAACATGCACGCTCGTTCATGTAAAACTGCAGCCGCATGAAAATTTAAGACCTTTGTGAATATTGTCATCAAAATATTTTATTTGTTTTTTTACCAATCAAGTTTTTGCCAAAAGTTATACAGTGAAGAATTTTGTTGAGAAGAACACAGTGAAATAAAGTCATAACCATACAATCCTTGACTGTAATTCATTTCATCTCCCGGAGGTTAAACTTTCTACCTTGTTGTGGAAGACAACGACAAACACATCACGTTCTCCTTCCAGAGATACAAATGGTGTCCATTTGCTTTTGAACTTAATAAATGAAAACAATACTAATTGCTACCACCACCATCACTATCACTATTACCATCACCATCAAACATTATCATCATCACCTTGATCGTTATCAACACCTTGATCATCAAAATCACCAGCGTCATTATCATCCCATCACTACAACACTCCTACTTGGTGCCCTAAAACACTACAAGAATAATAGCTGCCATCTCTTGTATTTCTACCCAACAAAAATACTTGGCCTCTATTTACGAGAAATTCCGTAAATGCGCGCAGAGGACGATGCGTGTAATTCTTTAACGAGTGAAATGAATATGTCAGCTTCAGGTGAACTCGGGAACATGACGCAGGACATACACCGTGAAGGATTTCAAAGGTCGCTCATAGTACAGCTTTGAACCTGTCAAGGTGCGATCAAGCTATCGTAACTAAGAATCTATTGTGGTCATAAACTCATCAAAGCAAACGAAATGTTATGAATATATTCGGGACAGGGTGTTGATAGCTACTTTGTCAACAAATATACTTCAGTAAATACATAATTTTCACCAGATATCAATCATGCACATGAAATTCATCTTAAAAATTACCTTCCAAAATGGTTAGACTACATTCCAATACAATTGTTTTACATACTTTTTAATCAGGCATTATTACAACACATTTGTAATTAACTTTAAATAATAACCCAAAATAACCAAGTGATATTCCCATGGATGTTATATCTGAATACAGTATAATGAAATATATGTAAACAAAAAAGACTAGAGGATTTCACTATCCACAACGCATTAGGATAAAGAAAGACATGAAATTATTAAATATTCCAGATATGCAGAGCCGGCGGTCGAGTAAAATCTTTTCAAACGGCAGGATAGAATCATTCTCGGCGAAAGGGTGGAGTCATTCCCCCGACATGCTCCACTTAGATTTACATATAATCAGTGTATGCAGTGTGTTATGTTTCTTCTCACCATGACTCCTACACATATTTGACGATGGACATCCTCTAAGTTCTCCTGGAGACAAAATTGGTGTTATTCCCTATTTTTGTATACTGTTCCTTCATTCTTTGTCTTAACGTCGAAATACTTTTTTAAGTGTATTTTATTTGAGTTAATATTTGCCTCTTCTTCTTTTTCTTTCGGCCTGTTGTAATATGCAGTATTTCTTAAGTATTTCTTATGTGGTCTTGTTGCTCGAGAATGTGAAGGAAATTAATACTGAGATGTTGGAGAGTCTAAGTACTCTGGTCCTCATTGTGTAGTACAGAGTGTTGGGAATGTTAATTGTGTCACTAAAACCGCACAAAGGCATAAGAAAACGTTTTACCTTCACGTAAACATAAGAACATAAGAATGGAGGAAACTGCAGCGGGCCTATTGGCAGTCCCTTTCACACCCAACCCCTATTGCTCACATATCCATTCAACCTACGTTTGAAGCTATCCAGAGGGTGTTCGAGTTAATGATGATATTTGGTAACTTGTTCCACTCGTCCACAACTCTATTTCCAAACCAATGTTTACCTATTTCGCGCCTAAATATAAATTTGTCTATTTTATAACTATTGTTACGAGTTCGCTCCTGTTTGGATAGTTTGAATACCTTTGTAATGGCCCTTTTGTTCAGCCCTGACTTCCATTTATACACTTCACTCTACGTCTCTCGAGGGAGTGCAAATTAAGATGCTTTAACCTGTCTCTGTACTCAAGGTTCCTAATGCCCGGGATTGGTCTTGTCATTCTCCTCTGAATTCTTTCCAAGGATTCTATATCCACTCTGTAATACGGCGACCAGAATTGAACTACGTAATCGAAGTGAGGTCTCACAAGCACAAGATATAGTCTTAGGGTGACCTTGTTAGTATTGTAACTAACACTCTTTTATAACCCAAGTATTTTATTAGCCTTGTTTCGAGCAAAAACACATTGTTTACTTGGCTTAAGATTCCTACTTATCATTACTCTTAAATCTTTTTCGCAGTCGGATTTCTCAATAACATTGTTGTTCATCAGGTATCTGGTTTCCCTGTTTACATCTCCTATACTGAGTGTATAGATATGTACATACCAAGATATGTGAACACGCCTGACACCAGGACTCTTGTTACCATTCATTGTACCATTTATTCACATGTCTGTATTACTACATATTATTATAGCATGTCTGATGTCCATGCTTATGTCTAATGCCTATGTTCATTTACTATGTCCCGATGTACTATGTCTGTACCGCGCTAGTCGAGTAATTAGAAGACCTCATTTATTGTCCTAGGAATGTCTAGCAACTCCCCTTGCCTGGCTAGCTAATTTCCCTCAGATCGGCCTCGGCCTACCTACGGTCCGGGGTCCCTAGTAATCGCTCCTGTATCGGTTGGCTATCACGCCCAGCCTTGTACACTTATTGAATATACCTACTGCTCGTGCCCTGGAGTTTCAAGAACCTTGTCTAGGATTACATCCACCACACCACATGGCGCAGTTTGAGTAGCTCCAACACGACAGTTTACAAGCCTCAAGAGCCGGCCCCGTCTGTTTCCGGCCTCGTCTGTTTCCCGCCCAGAAGATATACTCCACAGTGCCCCTGGATTTAAAGTGCTTTGTGACCTTGTGAAGTGCCCTAAGTGAAGTGCAGTGCCTTTCATGTCTCTTTGCTATGTTTCTGCGGCCCTACAGGTAGCAGACACGCCTTCAGCCCAGTTTCCAAGACAGCACTTCCGGCATACACCCCCCATCCACGGAGGCTCGCAAGCCACTGCCCGCGTCCCCTCCACTGACATCACCAGCATCTCGCCCGGGCGCGCGGAGGAATACACCGCCGCTAGCCGCCTCCTCTCACTTCACAAATATTACAGTCAGTACTCTTTTACTTGCCAGCCAGTTCCTGCACTTAAGCAAATCCATTGGCGAAAATATAGCACTTCACCTTATTCTCCTTGTCTTTCCCATCGCAACAATACCAAGCACGAGATGTCTGACCACGACGATTTGCTGGGAAATTTATATGAGGATTATGAGGAAGACGACGCCTCACAGACCCTCCCACCCCCCCTCACGCCTCACACGCCGGGCGCGCCAAATTCAAAGGATGGGAGCCAGGATATACGTCAGTTAATCCACTTCCTACAAGTTTCTCAAGAGAAGGAAGCCCAAAGACGTCAATTAGAGGAGGAAAAACGACGTCAAGAGGAATTGTCAAGACAGTCAGAGGAATCAGCTTACCGCCTTCAACTTCAACAACAACACCAAGCTGATAACCGCAAATTCCTGGACCTATTGGAATTGCTGGCAACGAGGACGACTTCACCAGCTGCCACAACCAATTCGCCAGCTTCAGCCTCTTCATCTATCCTTCAGACAACGCCTCCTCACACGTCACCTATCTCCCCTAGGTATGCCTCAGTGTCTTCTCAACCACCCGTTCCAGTCTCAACTCTCGTCGACCTCTCCGTGCCTCCTCCACCGCCTGCCGTCTCGAGTACACCCCTGCACAGCAAGTCTTCAGTTCCCAGTCCCCCACCTCTTCAATCTGATGCAACATATCAAGTATACCGTCAATGGCGACGTCGTTTCGAAGACTTTGCTGTTATGTCTGACCTCTACCGAATGCCCCCTCATAAACAACTCATCCAATTAAGATCGTGCATTTCCCTCGATGTTCAACGCCTCCTAGAGCACACGCTAGCCATCCCCCCTGACTCCCCCAGGTCAGTGACAGAGGTTTTAAACGCCTTGCAGAGTCATTTCCGTGGCCTCCGCAATGAAGCTTTGCGTCGTAGGGAACTGCTATCCTGCAAACAAGCTTCTGGGGAATCATTCTCAGACTTCTATGCACGACTTAAGGACCTAGCAACCGAGGTGGACCTATGTACAGGCGATCCTGTAACCTGTGCTGAGATCCAGCTCAAGATGATCTTGCTGATGGGTGTACGTGACGAGGACCTGCTTCAGAAACTCCTCACCCTCGACGCCGCCTCTTCCCTCACCGACTTCGTCACCTGTTGCAGGTCGTATGAGGCCACAAGAGAGGCTGCCTCAGCTATACACTCATCGCCATCTCAAGTCCACGCCGTCTCCACCTACAAGAGGAATCAACGCCAGATGCAGACGACGTCCTCTCCACAGCCCCCGTCACAGTCACCAGTTTCTTCTCCCGAATCCTGCAGAAACTGTCAGCACCAGCATGGTCCAGGAAAGTGCCCTGCGGCTGATAGTACATGTCGAAACTGTGGGTTTCAAGGCCATTGGCCCCGCACACCTCGATGTCCTGCCAACAAGGCCTCATGCAACGCTTGCAACAAGCAAGGACACTTCGCCAAGTGTTGCAGGTCCACCAAGAAGCCTCCATCTCCAGGTCAAAACGTCTCTTCACAGCCCGACAGAACGTCCACACCACCGTCTCCCAAGAATAACAAAGGATGCCGACGCGTGGATGATACCTCGAGTGACAGGTCCCCCAAGCCCGTCAATGTTCGTCTGTCCTACGGTACCAACTCTTCCAACCTCCTGATGATACCTGACACGGGCGCGGACATCACGGTGATTGGACCAACACACCTGGACGCCCTCAACATCCCCAGGAGTAGCCTGTCACCCACAGCCATGAACGACGTGCTCACAGCGGACGGGTCCCCGATGTCT